ATAAGACTCAAACTCACTGCAGATCCAAACATTTGAATTGAGAAAGCTTCCTGGAGAGGTGGCGAAACGTCTTCAAATCTTGGAAACCAAGTCCAGTGGATGTTTTTTGAACTTTTACAGAACCCCATTGTGTTTTTTATCTTTTGTACGGTGACCTTGAGTGTCCAGAAGGCGCCTTTGAAATAAAATGTATTATTATTATTATTATTTAAAGGCTCTTGAAGAGTGACTTTAATAAAATGAGAAGCTCTGTGATGTCGCCAGCTCCAGAGTTAAGTTGAGTTTCTGACGTCCTGGTAAATATTAGTGCTGTCTTCTCTCATCACTAAACCCTGTAATCCATCAAGGGTTACAGGGTGATGACATAAAGTCCTTGAAAACACTTCCTTTTTGCATTGTTCAGGCAGCTGGTTTCCACTCCTGTCCACTAGGAGACAGCAGCCATGCGGTTTGTCATCTGCTGGTTTAAAAGTTAAAAGATTAGAGGGCTTTCTGTCTGAATAATATTCTGGAGGATAGTGAGTCTTTTCTTCGGCTAATTAGGGTTAATTATTGTCTTTGACAATAATTAAAGGCTAAATAAGGAAAGGTGATGGATAATGTCTAAGCACTATAAAACAGCTATATAAAGTGGATTGTAAAGGTTTTCTCTAGCTCAAATTTTATTCCATGAATAAATTGTCTTATTTTGCAGTATGAGGATTTGCTTAGAAATTGCAATGGGTGAACTGGTGACTTTAAGGATTACAATTGGTCTGCTTCTCTGAAGACAGTATATTAAGGAAATAACTGCATGCCTCTAGGGTGGTAATTATTTTGACACAGTGTTTGTAGAAATCACACAAAATAATGACAGACCTTCTTTCCTAAGCATCTTGTACCCTGTCACCCATGTGTTGAAGTATAAACAATAAAGATGCATATAAAATCCCATTGTACAACTTATTTTATGCAGGTTCATTACGCAGTGGGTAATGTATAACAAGAATACAATCTACAGATTTTAAATGGCCTCTGTTTGATTCTGGTACAGTAAATAACTGGCCTGGCTAGTCAGACTGATAAGACGTATACATGGCATATCAGTCTGGGGTTTTGTAGTCAGTGAAACATGTCGAGCCATTGATGAAAGTCTCCAGTGAATGATTTCTGCCTGTTTTACCTAAGTAAAGTTGTGCTCTCTGCTACGTTCTTAATTTTCATTGCAACATTGCTCAATTGTATTCACCGGTTCGTTGTCATGACAGCAGAAAAGCACTACTGCATTTTGGGAAATTGTGGCACTGAGAGCCATGCATTGTAAAGTCCCGCCTCCCGCACTGTGATTGGTCCTGACAGATTTGGCCAGAATCAATGGCGGTTTACCAGACTGAATTATGCTTTGTGTAATTCAGTCCAGATGGCCAGGCTACTAGATCATACAAGCAACATAATGGAAAGTTGAGTGGAGGAGAAAATTAAGAAAATGTACAAAGGCAGAAGGAATTGTGGCGTTTAAGAAGCTTATAAGTAAGGTTGATTGTTATCTATTTATTCAAAGCCATCTTTTCTGATACAGTAATTTATGCAGAAGAGCCCCTTCCAATTTCCAATTCAAGACACTGTATAAGTAAGAGACATGTATACGTTTCTAATTAATTTATATAATATAGTTTGATTCAATTTAGCACAAAAAAAGGTTTCATTACATTTTTAGATGGTTTTCTTTGTAATCTCACATATTAGACTTTAAGCTGTGTTTTTTCAGGGATCACAAAGTATTACAGTATATGATATTTTATCAGCTTTGGTCACGCTTGAATAACAATCATTCTTTGTTATGTCCAAGCTTTAACTTCCTGCCAGATGTCTGTAGAATTTGATTTATTAAATTAAATTTACCTTCCTTCATGATATCATGGAGCAATACTCTCCCACATCATGGTACTGTTAACGTCTTACTTGGCTACTTGACTGATTTTCTCTACAAGCTGTCTTTTTCTCTAAGTCAATCGGTAAAATTACTTTCATCACATCAAAGAACACCTTCTTCCTTTCTGAGCGGCCCTTCAACCCATATCTGTTCAAGGTTTTTTTCATTGTTAATATTCTTGCTCTATTGACACTTTCAGGTAGTTTCTTTAGCAGTTCCTTAGCTTTGAATCTGCAGAAAAATGTGTAGTTTTTGTACCACAATTCATCTTTGGGACACAGAACCTGTCCACTTCCTCATAGTGTGATAGATGGGCCTTCCCGCTGTTTATACTTGACTCTGAAGTATAAAATCTTAGTTTTTTTCTCTGATATTATCATCATCATATCATCCCAGCTTTAATTTTAAATGCAAATTCAAAATTTAAACATTAAATCCTGTTGTCTAGAAGTAAAAGAGAAAATTCACAAATAGTGTTGCACATCAAGAATCAATAATCGATCGGAACCGGTTCTAACCTTTAAATTTCCAAGAATCGTTCAAATGTTTATCAACCATTCTTAGTAGGGCTGTCCCAATCCAATAATGATATCAGAGATCGATTTCAGTGAAAAAGGGAATATCACAATATATCCGCCTGCCTCTAAACTCCCTGATATTAGAAAACTCAGTAAAACTTTGCTTTTTTGTTTAAAGTTTATACAACTCTTTGGTGAATCAGAAATGGGTCTGTTGTTCTCATAACGGATTTTGTTAAGTATTGTTCTCCATTTGAGAAGTATCACATGATCAAAAGTTTTCTGTCATTCCACACCAGCATTAAAATAATCATTAAATATATGTATGATTAATGCTGATAATGTATCGGATCATTATTGGCGTAGTGTTTTCATTTTTGCCAGACAACAAGCTGTAAAGCTGTTACTGTCTGGTCAAAGTTATTAATTAATTAGCATAATTATTGTTTAATTAATCACCCCGTATTAGAAATGCCTATAATTTTACATGTTGTAAATATACATTAAATGGTATTAAAGGGCAAGGGCCATGGCGGTCTGATCCATGGAAGCTGTCTATTGGGACGTGGATTGTCAACTCTCTGGTGGGGAAAGCACCTGAGCTGGAGTGGGAGGTTGATAGTTTCCGGCTAGAAATAGGCAGACTTACCTTGACGCATGTCTCTGGGGCCTGTCTCCTTGAGAGGATTTGGACACTCTTCCACTCTGGAGTTGCCCCATTGGTGAGAGGTGCTGAGCAGGAGTGGGCATACTTGTTGCCCCTCATTTTGTTGCCTGTTTATTGGGGTTTACCCCAGTGAGTGACTGGGTGGCTTCCCTCTGCATATGTGTGGTGGGACCTGCCGCACCTGCACGTCTTGGACACATGATTGAAGAGAGGGGTGGAGCTGTCCACCGGCCACTATCAGTTGGTGAGTCGACTCCAATAGCAAGGGAGCAAGATGGTCAGATGTGGCAGGCCCAAATATTTTGTGAGGGTTTGCAGGGAACTGGGAGTGATGTTCCTCTAACTTCCACCTCTCTGGAGGCTTTCTTGGGGAGACTCCATGGCTCCACCATGGGGAGAAGGCCTTAGCTGACCGGTGTTTGCAATGGAGGTCGGAGGAAGAAACAGTCCTTTTAGGGCTAAATTTACAGCATTTCCATCTGAAAATCTCACAGGGAAAGAAAAAGACAATTAGAAGAAATTTATTGATACAATTACTTTAGTCTTTGGCATTCAGACCTCGGCAGAAAACATTAAGTTTAACATTAAAAGGGTAAACCAATACAAACTGGTCACTTTGCCCAAAATACTGGTTAAGTAGTATAGCAACTTTCAAAAGCAAAGGCTGGGTGTCAGGTCTAAGCACCTAAAACATCATACATACATACAAGGAAAGAAAGAAGGCACAGAGTCAATTAATTTGGTTTTACTTGCGAGGAGAGTAGGAAGAGACTGCGGAGTTCACAAATCCCCGACCCACTCTGCCGGTCTTCAGCTTTCTCCTCACTATTTATTAAAGCCAGAGGGGGGGTCCCTAGTTACACAAGCTGAGGTTGCACTAAAGGAATAGGAAACAAGAAATACAATTCAATTTGCAGCCTCAGTGAACAGGTCAATTTGCATTTAAATGTCTTGCAGTCAAATGGTCTGAGAACCTCCTGGTTTCGTTAAGCTTGAGCAATACTTCCTGAGAGTTGATCTATACTGCTTGTGCAACACCTCTCTGGAACAGTAATATGTCACATATTATAAATCATAAGAACAAACATTAAGTATCTTATGCATAATTATTCCAACACTGGGTCTCGAATCAATAAACCCTAGATATAAAGGCATACTCCTACAGCAGGCGCCCCTGTCACCGCTAACATTTTTTGAATGCATACAAGTTTTTAAGTAATTGTTACAATGTGGACTGAACTAAGTTAGCACGGTAGATTGATATTTTTATTAAATTTTAGTTTGGCTTTATCAGTGATATTACAGATTAGTGAACTGTTATGGTTTAATTTCTTGACCCACATGCAGAATCTTACAGAGGCCATTTAAAGTAATATGTATGGTTTGTTTTCCTTAACAAATACATATTTTGCACAAATTAGTCTTCATAGTCTTTGTGGTAGGAATGAAGTTTTTCATAATAAATTCGGCTCAATGTGTGATTTTAAGTTTTTTTATCCTTAAATTAAAATTTTTAACAGTTTTTTCAACTACAGGCCTTAGAATAAAATTTTGTTGAAGAACAGTTTTTTTATAGAAGTCATATTTTTTTATTCAGTGTCGAATGAAAAACCAAATGAAGACATCCCTCATTGTTTTATATTTCAGTTCAAAGCAGGTAGACTTTATTGCAGTTCTCTAGAGCAGCCTTAACCGACAGCAAAGCAGACTGTCTTATTCGGAGAAACGTGTTTGTGTTGATCCAGGCATAAAAAGGATGCTTCACCTATGAAACTGACCAAGAACCTGCAACTAGAACCAATTTAAATAAGATTTTTATGCACTATATTTCTATAAGCCATCTCAAATCTATCGTTAAACCTATTTATTTGGCTGAAAGCCTAAAGCCAACAAAAGCTGTGGCAGTTAGTATTTGGTTTCATGTTTATACGAAAATGTATCAGACATATTAACATCATCATGGTTCTGTTCAAAGGTATTGACGTGTTTCATCACTATTACCAAATGTTACATGGCTATGTTTTGTGCAACTAATAGATTGTGTCTTATTGACAGATAATGCTACATTGCTGACTACAGATATGGCTGGTAAGTTTACCTTTAGCATTGGTTTGTGTAAAAATCTAAACAAAACCCCAACAGAAATTTCAATGTGAAGTGAAAACCTACAACATAGTGATTGTTTTGACAGACCAGAGCCAGAATTCAGCACAGGAACCATTGAAGCAAGGAGAACCAGGCCAGAACTCCACACCTAAGGACAGACCACAGATCAGTGAGGAATCTGGTTTGTTAATTTTATTCTGATATTTGTTTTTGTTCCTGTCCTTATTTAGGCTGTACATCTAAAAGCATTTAGAGAATGGTGGTTTTAGACTGATGGTGTTGGAGGGTTAACATCTGCAGCACCACCTCACTATAGATTCATTAAAGCAACACACAGTACATTCATAAGGTCATTTACAGTTAAGGTTAATATCTTTTTATTTAGTATTGTTTCATTCTCCTGGGTCTGACTCCACTGTTGTACTCTCACATCTCTCAGTTTTCTTTGAGAACAACAATATGAATCCAGCCCTACTAGTTGAGAAGTATGCTCCACATGGCAGGAGCTCATGAATGTATTAAACAGAATAACTGAATGCCTAATGTTAGTTTGATGTGTAATCTCAGAGAAAATGTAACGATGGTATGTTTCATCAGCTGTGAGTAAACTGGAAGTAACTGAAGGGAAAGCAAAACCTGACCAGAGTGGAGATTCTTCTGATGTGCAGCTTAAAAAAGGTGAGATTTAGCAAAAACCAAGTAACATATAGCTTTCATTCAGTCTGTTACAAGCCCAGAAGCCAGTGCTCAGTCTGGTAACATAGTTTAACACAGAGGAATGTATTAGTCTGAAACAGGGATGTAAACAAACAATAAACTTACAATTAATTGTCAATTGATGGTTAATTAGATCAAAAATTATTCCATCTGATCAAATGATAATGTTCACTTGGAGGCA